CCCCCCCCCCAACCTTATCAGCTCATCGCTGTGGACTCAAATCATAAGTGACCTGCTCAGTCAGATCACAACAGGTTTCTGGAGGCTGTAAACTGCATGGGAGGAGACTGTCCACTTTTCTCACACAGAGGAACAGCTGCAGGTGGTCGAGAAGGAGGCAGGAGGAATGGGCACCGTAGCGCTGCCCCTAGGCACCACCCATCAGCCTGGCCATCCTAACCGTAGTGGCCCTTTTAATGTCGATGCCAGGGTCTTGGAAGGAGAAATCGAACGTTTCTAGCCTTGTGCCAAATTTCTGGGCTGCCCTCCTGTGGAGGGATACCCTTGATTTCCCCATTTTCCCAGCACCCACACCTGTTCCCAAGGTCTTTTGACCCCTCTCCCACCTCCTACCGCTCACCCATTCTGTGCCTGCTTCTTGCTGCTCCCTTCTCAGGGCCTGTGCCCTGGCGCCTCCATTCACAGAGCTCCCACCTCTCAGGACTTGACTTAAAGCTGCTTGCTGTGGTTGTGTGGCGTGGAGTTAGAAGTGACTCATAGCTGACCTTGGTCATTGGAGAACTGATGCCTTTGAGCTGTGGTGCTGGAGGAGAGTACTGAGAATACCATGGACTGCTAGGAAAACAAATAGATTTGTCCTGGAGAGGGTTAAACCGGGTGGCTCCTTGGAGGCAAGGATTCTGAGGCTCCGTCTAACTTACTTTGGACATGTAGTGAGGAGAGACCGGTCCTTGGAGAGGGACATCATGCTTGGTAGAGTAGAGGGACAGCGCAGGAGGGGAAGACCCTCTATGAGGTGGATTGATTCAGTGACTGGGATAATTGGGATGGGAGTGTCAGAGACAGTGCGATTGGCACAGGACAGAGTGGAGTTTAGGGCTGTTGTACATAGGGTCGCTATGAGTCGCAGGCGACTCGACGGCACATAACAACAACATAGCTGACCATTTGGCAGATTTTAAGAGGCCGTAAATCACACCTGAGGAGACTGCCCATCTTTCTCCCATAGAGCAGCTGGTGGATTTGAACGTCCTGGCTTTGGGACGCCAGTGCAACTCCTTATCCCTAGGTTACCAAAGAGCCCTTTGAAGCCATCAAGTTGGCTGCAATTCGTAGTGACCTTATGCACAATAGCTCTGAACTCTGCTCTATCCTGAGCCAATCTTACTGTCTCTTACACACCTACCCCCATCAACCCAGTTATTTTATCAATCCATCTCATTCACAGTCTTCCTCTTCTGCGCTGACCCTCTATCCTTCCAAGCATGACGTCCTTCTCCAAAGCCTGGTCACTTCTGGCAATATACCTGCAAGTTAAAGCCACTGGTGATGGTTAAAGGTAGTGTGAAAACTTCCGTTTCTACGGTTTGATGGTCATGATGCTGCCATTCTCTTGGTGAGCTCTACTGTGGTATGATTCCCTTGCTGGGATTTGCAACGAGCAGCCAGTGTGCTGGAGGGACGGGTTTCATCATGGTTGAACTTGACCTGCATCAACTATATAAGGAAATCTGGTGTGTTTACCCTCAGTTTTCATCTTTCGTCTGGCTCATCACCTCTTCAGTTCTTTGGACTTACGTCGGCTGTGATGAGTCATTTCTTTTAGATAAATCTCTCTTGAGTGAGAACTGACTCATGGTTGACCCTCTGGTGGGTTTTCTAAGGCTGTAAATCACCCAGTAGGAGACTGCCCATCTTTTTTGCTTGGAGGAACTGGTGGATTTGAAACCCTTGCCTTTGGGTTGGCAGAGTAATTCTTTACTCACTAGGCCAACACCGCCACACACACACACAGATGTTGTTGCTGCTGAATACAGCTGAGTTGGAACTGACCCATAGCTGACCTCCGGTGGGTTTTCAGAGGCAGTTAATTGAATGGGATGCGACTGCCCATCCTTCTCCCGTGGAACAGCTGGTGGATTCGAACTGCGAGCCATTGGGATTGCAGTGCAGGCTCTTACCACTAGGTCACCAGAGTGCTGCATACATGTATATACATAATAAATTATATCTATGTCCAGTTATTTAGCCATAGATGGAGCTGAACATCTGGAATAAAAAGATACCAGAAGGGGCTCATGAGGAAGAGTCAAAATCGAAATCCTTCAGGTACCAACAGCAGGACCTGGAAGTCCTGCAGAAACACAGACCCTCAAGCACAAGCCCAGATGTGCTGAATCCGAATGGGCATTTTTACTAGATTCCCAGGTGACTGAAATCTGAGGAGCAGTTTTCAAGCACTGATTCTCAACCAAGCAGTGCACTTGGAGAGCTTTAACCAGCGATGCCCGCCTGCCTGCGTCCTGCCCGCAGAGATTCTAGTTTAATTGGAATGTACAGGGACAGGTACAGGGATTTCCAAAAGATTCTCCTGTGTGTCCACTCTTGAGAACTAGTGCTTAGAAGTAAAATGAATTTTGGTACTAGGATCAGCCCAGGCTTTTCGAGGCTGTGTGGTTAAAAAGCAGAGGCTTAAGACACACAGAGAATTACAGGCAGACCCTGGTTCCAAAGCGAGGTCCTTTACTGTCTAATCTTGGGCCAGTTTCTCTTCCTGGGCCTCGAATGTCCTCATCTGTAAAATGGGCATAATGTCTATATGCATATGACGTTTCTAAGAGTTAGAGATAATGAGTATAAAGTGGATGCTCTATATAAGGGCAGTAATTGTTACCATCATGATAAGCATTTATTTTTATTTGCTGATACGGGCCTAAGAACTCTGGGTAAAACCAGGGGCTGCCACCAGATAGAAACAGCTCTGCATGGTTTTTAGGTTAAACAGGTTCAGCATCACCCTGGCAGACAGAGGCTGTGAGGTGGGAGTGGCTTCCCTGACTCCCACCTCCTGGGCCCTCAGTACTGTTATCAACTTTCCAGGCATGGATTGTTGACAGTGACGATGAATACAATGAATTTTCGTATATTGACCTCGTATTCACTAACAGCGTGAATTCACCAAGGCTTATTAGTTCTGATAATCTTTCTGCAGAGTTCCTCGGCTTATCTCTATAGACAACAATATCATCTGGAAAATCTATTTTCTTTTCTTCTCTATTCCTTTTCTTCTCTTCTATGCATCTGACAGAGATCTCCAGCACAATTTGGGCTGGAAGCAGAGAGGCGGGCACACAGCCAGCGTGGCAGCTTAGCCTTGCCATACATCAGGGAGGAGTGTGGGCTGAAGACACAAGCTGCCTGGAGTTGAATCTTGGCTCCAACACTTCTTGGCTAACTTGTATGACCACTCACTCGGTGTTCCCTCTCCAGTAAGTCAGGGATGATAACAACAACAACAATTCCTCACTGGGTTGTCAGAAATCTCCACCTGGGGTATAGTAGGTGCTCAACAAATAGTAACTATTATTACTGTGAATGTCATCATTACTATCTGTGTTTGTTTATGACTTTGAAGGCTGTTCATGTTTCCTAAATAAATATGTTATTTACTGTTTGCAGACACAGAGACTATTTCCAGGGTGTGCCGGTGGCATGGTTCTCTGAAAGCTGCACAGCAAGCTCAGAGGCAAAGATTTATAGTAATTTGAATCCACTGGCCGCTTTGAGGGAGAAAGATTAACCTCCTCCTCCTCCTGCCTCAGAAACCCCATGGAAGGTCAGCTAGGAATGACCACGATGAGTGAGTGAGTAAGAGAGGCTCTTTCTAATTCTTGTCAGATACGTTCTTATTGTTTTATTAACTATTCCACCTACACACACATACTTAGATTGTTTTTCGTTTCGTGGAGGGCATTAACCAGCCTGGTGTTCCTGGAATAAACCTATCGTGCTCTTAAGAAGGAGTTTCTGACTTGTTTTGAGTTTTCCTAACTACAGACTACTGGATTTAGTTTGGTCTGTATTTTTCTCTTTCATTTATAATTGTAAATACTTTCTCGGTTATCTGTATCTTTTCAAGGAAAATG